AAGCTGCTTGTGGGACTAGCAATTTCGGACGTCTGACAGGCGATGCTTTTATAGCCTGATCGTAGTTTCGCTCAGTACCGAGTTTTCATTACTCTCGTAGCACCAGAACTTGGTCACAGAACACTACAAAGCACAGGGCAATAGCACTTTTTCTTCAGTTAGTTATTCAAAAAATAGCCATTGGCATTCTTGTTTGGCGGCGATGCATCGTGTTTATATGTGTTAAAAAAAAGAAAATCTGAAAATTGAATATTTCTCCTCTTACTCTTTGTCCTTGACCTTACTCGACGGCTACACGTAAGCTTTCTAAAAATACATTCCACTGCTAACTGTATTGTTTAATCGATCCCTTACTTATACAGCTTACATTCCAATTGTTGCTCAGTGTCGCGGTGCAACCTGTGGTAATTTCACTCAGTGTTCAACAACAAATTCAGCTTGTGCTTGTTTTATGGTTGCAAACAAAAACACCTCCGGCATATGTGGGCTTGGTACAGTTCTGTGTTCAACCATGACAAATTGTAGTAGTAATTATATATTTAGCTTCAACATCACTTCGTTCAACATCGATAAGCAGTCAAATCACATCAACTGGTAAAAAGTGAAAAATCTTTCTAGAGTCTAGCACCGTAATGCTGCATGCATTAAAGTACAGATCTAGAAATGATCTTTTAGAGGTGTAGAATTCTTCTTTTGAGCAAACGATTAGTCACTCGCTCTAAAAGAGAAGGACTACAACTGTGTACAACATTCAACGAAGGACTATTTGGTTTGCCTAAAAAAACATATTTTTCTTCCGGCCTAGGATCGTCCACGAGGACTTCAACTTCGACAACGTCGTCGTCGACCACTACAACATACACCTCGACAACAACTACGACGAACAGCACCGTCACATTTACTTCCACAGCCACGCCTATCTCGAGCAATAATAATTCGACTGGTAAGTAAGAAGCAAACCTTTTGTCTTTGACAGTTAGCTTTCACTACCCAGGTGAAACACGTCTTGTAAGACCTTGCAAGATCTGATGTTTTCTTGTGAAATCTTGTAATAAGGTCTTACGATATGATCATACAAGATCTTATTATAAGATAATATAAGAT